AAATTTCATTCATCTGATTATTGAAATTTTCACATTAGTTTCCTTATTATTATAAGGAAGTGTTATATGGTGAACAAACACCTTTTATTATTACCAAAAAAATTTTTTTAATGCTATCTATTTCAAATTAAAGCAAACCCTCCTTGTAATTTTTTAACATGCCTCTTAGTATAATTTTATTAGTATTTTTATATTCACATTTATATATACTGTTTTAACATTTTATCATCTATAAATACACAAATAACAATAATAAAAATTATGAGATAAAAATCTGCATCACACAGTAAATCTCAATACTTTATTTATAATAATACGCCAACAATGTTAATACAATTTCTGCAAATGTATATTCATGCTTTACTCTCAAAACTATCTTTCACCATCATTAAACAATTCCTTATACTAAATAATATCTTTAGATTTTGCACTATATATCCTGATCACATTTCTTAGTGGGTGCCCTTCTAGCTGTTTACCTCTTTACGACCAAAGTCAGGTACATATCCAAAAACTACTAAATAAAATTTATTAAATATTTACCTCACTAAAAAAGTAAAGAAAAGAAATAAAAAATAATAAAAATAATAGAGACAAGTATAAAATAAGAGAAAATAATTATGCATGGGATTTAGTATGAATTCATTGTTAGAGATAAATTTATTATCACTATGAAAATATAATATTTCAAAATAAATCTGAATTATACAAAAGTTTATTGTGTAATAAAGGATGTATCTACATGATTGAATTCTTCATTCTACTCATGGCAGAGATTGATATTATTAAAAGATGCAATTAAACATTTACCAGGAAGGTTGAAAGCTGATCAAAATTGAGAGAATAAAAAAGATGTAAAAGATCGGAACGTATTATGTTATCAGAAGATGAATTGCAATTAACGAATGAACTTTAATTTTGAGAAGTTTTGAAGAGCTTACTATAATGATGAGTGGTAATTCATATGTGACTCTTTCCTTGATTTACCCATCTATAACCACTTTTAAAAATAATTTAGATGAATTATTATTAAAAGAAAGTACAGACGAATTATTAATTGAAGAATTAGAAGGTAATGAATAATACTGTAATTGAAGAACAAGATGATGTATTTGATATTGTTGATATTCCAGATAAAATGTTGCAGATGATATTGTGGTATTAGTTTCTGGAAACAAAAAACAAATTAAATATATCTAGACCAATTTTATTGTAAGAAAATTATTGGAAAAATTGAAAAAGTATTAAGTAGCATTGCAACTTTATCAACAATCTTGGACCCTAGATTGAAATCATTACATTTTTTTGATTCTGAAAGGATTGGACAGATTAAAAATCAACTAAAAGAAGAATGCTTGATTATAAAAGATATATTAGATGAAAGTGAATTTAATGAAAGTCAAAATAATTTTATTATTGATAATATTGAAAATGAAATGGATCACAGTGAGCATGATTTGAATAATGTTTCTATTTTAAAATATTGCCACCTGATAATGATGTGGTTGGTAGTTATAATGAAATATCACATTATCTTTCTAGTAATGTAAGGAATGATATTAATCCTTTTAAATGGTGAGTGAAAACAAAAATGATTTTCCTATTTTTAACAAAATTGGCAAAAAAATCTTTATGCATTTCAGCTACATCTGTTGCTTGTGAGAAATTATTTAGTAATGTAGGAAATATTATTACTGCCAAAAAGACTAATCTAAAACCTGAACGAGTGGGAAAGATGGTATTTCTGAAACATAATTTAAAAATAGTTTAACCATTTTCTTAAGTATATCTGTGATTTGTTAAATATTTAAATATTTACAAACACAAGTATTTGAAATATTTGGAATTAATAAAGTGTTTGAAATATTACAAATATTGAAATAATTACAAGTATCTGAAATAATGAATAATTACAAGTATTACGAGTATCCATAATAATTACGAGTATTCGAATAAATATTCGAAATTCATAATTCTGGATTTACGAATATTCGAATAAGGGGTTAGAATTATGGTTAGGAACCCTATGCGGAAGGTCAAATTCATTTAACGCTTAGCAAATATGCTTATTTCTTTTGGAAAAAAAACTCGTTAAACTAATAAAATAGTTCTGCAATTAAAAGTTGCAAACATCGATCTTGCTAAGAGAAGACTAGCTGTTATAAAAAAAGTCTCATATTCTTATGAGAAAATGAAACATTTCAATTCTCACGTTGCCTATAATTTTAATTTTAGTAATCATTTTTTACGATTGAGACGTAGAATTTAATTGAATTGAATGTAATTTTGGTTAAATAACTCAAAAAAAAAAAAAAAAAAAAGCAGTTGAACACAAAAAAATCAATGGATTAAAAAATTATTTTTTATTATGTTACACTCACTAGACAAAAGTCGGGCGCATTTTTAAACAAAAATTGCGCAAAAACATACTTAATAATAATTAAATAGAAAACATTGTTTTGCAACTTAGGTTCACCAAATTATATATGCAAAATTTCACATCTTTAATGTTTTTATTAAACCAATGATTAAAAAAAGAAAATTTCGACCAAAATTTTTTTGACAAAACAGGATCACCAAAATTGACTATTTTTTTTTTCTTCAAAAAAAATGATTGTTGAAAAATATAATCATACCCAAAAATTTAAAATTCGATAAACAAAGTAAATAATAATATTAATATCTTGTTGGCCATCCACTATTTTCAAT